AGGGGGGGGGGGGGGGGGGGGGGGATGGGCCGAGGAAAATCAGAGTGCGTCGTTGTTGAAGAGGATCAATTCGACGATGATCTACTTGAATTCTAGGAAGCTGTATCCTTCCGTTGGAAGGATAATTGCTCGCAGAGAATGGTGTCGGTTGTTTCGGGTGAGAGGAGCTAAGAAGTTCTGTAGGAGGAGCTGAGAAGATGACGGCTGATGTAAATGAACAATTTCAAACCTGAGAGAAAGTAGGAATAATTAAGAAAGATTGGAAGTAGAAGCGAAGGCAAACTATTTCGGTAACAATGAATGATAGCTGGTAGAAGGAGCTATAGAAAGAAGATGGAAGACGATAGGCATTCGCGGGAAAATCAGTCGATTATTATTGTGCTATTATTATTATTGTGCCAACATGCCTCGTTTCCTGCCAATCCAATCGGAGACATTTCCGGAAACATTGTCTCGCGAATTAAATTATTATTTCGATTCTACTCGTAAAGCAATCTTCCGTTAAACGAATATCTTTCAGAATATCAGATCGAACGTCAAACTCCGTCCGCCTGACAGAAGACGCTCCAATCTCTTCAGCTCCAGATGCGTTTTCTCAATTTCCAAGTCCTCTTAGTTCCTTCATATCGAGCCATACGCTGCAACGACGGCAGCTGCGAAGGCTGCCTGGTCAGCCACAATCTCGACTATCGTGTTCCCTCGGTATGTAATTCGCTTGCAAAGGCACCCGCGAACGGGTTTTTAAGGTCCTCTTAATCGGTCGCAGAGCATCGGCCGGCTATAAAACGTCGACGACGTTGGAACGATCGATCAAGCGCCCCGATCGCGCCGCTTTTCTCCGTTGTCGCGTTAAAAGCAAAGCTCGATGCGTCTTCTTGGACGAACGGTAAGCCCTTTCGGCCCGTGGGCGAGACCGTAGCTCTTTGGACGGAGCGATAAAACTTGATCAACGTCAACGACGAAGGACTTTCGCGTGGATTTAGGGGGGAGGGGGGGCGACGCCTCGGCGGACCAGGGACGCTAAGCCCGCCACCCCCACAGGCCGGATCGCACCGCGTCGAATCGAACGGAAAATCGATCCCGAGGGCTGACCGTGGTCGATTCTTGCTGTAGCCATGCGAACAAGGATGGGGGATAGAGCGTTGCGTCCAAAAACGTGCTCCGAGCGCTACGGCATACGCTATATCTCATCCGTCTCCCTTCTTCGGCGTCCTCGGGGGGACGAGGGATCGATGTGGAGGACCTGCTGGGTCCTTGGATCGCCGGAATTAGCCCCTTCACTTTTTACCGGTCTATTTATCTCATTGAATATTCAGACTTCAATGTTTGCCAAAGAGGGTTCTTCACAAGTTAACCCTCGGCCGAGACGAGGATTTTCAAATTACTAAGAATATTTTATAGAACGAAAGCTGGATTATGTGCCAAGGATTTAAATAATGAGAGAAATGTACGATAAAGTAATAATATATAATATTATAATAAATGGACGATATGTCTTGGTCTTTTGCTATTATACATTGTCGAATGGTACGAGTGTAACTTCTGCAATGAGTAACTTCTATATAATTCTGACGTCCTCGATGTGTCGGCATTCGTTCTCAATGTATTATCTTTTCACCGTATTATCGAGGTTAAATGAATTTACTATTTACTAAAATTTTTGTAAATTAAATATGGTAAAAAAGAAATGTAGGTGAATTATTTAACCACTGTCTGCTGGCGATCTGGCATCATTGTCTTGGTTTCTAAACGAGAAACGTGTTCTTTACACTCGAACGAAACGAATAAAATTTTACTATTTAAAACTTTTAAACTATCTTACTATATAAAACTATTTAAAACACTTTTTACTATTTAAAATTCTCGTAATTTAAACATCCCTGTGTAACTTGTTCAATCCTCATCCGCCACTCCAAAAGTGCAGCGTCTTCCGAGCGCTCGAATCAAATGAAACAATTCAAAAATTCGCCTGCTCGCTTCTTTGCTTTTGACTCTCGAAAATTATCGGTCGATTGTACGTGACTAAATTTCCATTGGAACGCGAATGGGCTGGTTCCGGCGACCGCAGCTGTAAATAATGCAAAGTTAAGAGAAATTCGGATGCGTGGGCCGAGGGAAGTAGCATTGGCCCGGGACTCGCATGATCGCGTAGCAATCCGAACTGCGTGCAGAAGGTCGAAGAGAGCGGCAGGACGAAAGGTATGGAGAAACAAAGAACCGAGAAGGCGCAGATCAGGTAAAAAAAAAACAAAACAAAAAGGTATAGAATCGAAACCGAGATCGAAAGCGAGACTCGTGTTCGACGACGGAGGATCCTGGCGATCCTCCGGGACCCCTTTGCCACTTCCGGCTCGGCCTCGGCACCTCGTTAACAACGCGATTCGGTCGAAATAGTAGATCGTGAAAAAGCAGGCTCACCGTTCTTCCGGCCGGTCGGCCATTGTTCTGTTTCTGGTACTATCGTCTTTTCTCGTCGGGTAGAAGAGGAGGACGGTGGTGGTTGGTAATTTGTCGGAGGTGATAATTACATTGTTACATTTGTTTTATTTTTCTCGTAATAGCGGATATGGTGTTCGTGATTGGTCTCGGTGATCGACTCAAGCGGTCTCCGATACCGGAAGCGGTGGCTGCCCACCGGAAGTAGTCATGGCAGGCGCGGTGTTGGTGGTGGTGGCGGTGGTAGTTGGGACCGGAAGTGGCTGTAGGGCCTGCATGTCGCAGGTGTGGGAACCGCGCTTCTTTAGGTCCTGGAACAATTCGCATTTCGGAAATGTTTCAATTTAGACTCTTCCTCCAGCTTCTCCAATCTTATCTTTCTCTCAAAAATCTTCTTTCACTCTGCCCGTTCTCTCTCCCTCTCGCTCTCTCTCTCCCTCTCTTTCGCTCTCGCATTCTCACTCGAATATTCTCTCCTTTCTCTCGATCGCTTTCTCTCCGTATCTACAGTTCTAGAAATATCAATGCTATTCGTAAAGACAAAATTATTCTAAGCTCTACGTCTCTCTCTCTCTCTCGCTCTCTCTCTCCTTCCTCCCTCTCCTTCTCTTTCTCTCTCTCTCTCTCTCTCTCCCTCTGCCTCTCTCTCACTCTCCGTGATTATCCTGTGATTAGCTTTCTCTCTCTCTCTCTCTCTCCCTCTCTCTCTCTTTTTGTCTACGTTATCGTCTCTCCCTCTCTATCGTTTTCTGTCTCTCGTTATCTTTCTCTCTCTCTCTCTCTCTCTCTCTTTCTCTAGCTTCCTCTTTTCGGCTTTCGCTGAGTTCTATCTCGTTTCTGTTCCGAGCTCCTCGAGCATGATTCCGGAAGACGGAACATGCGAACATCCGAACCGTGATCCCGTTTCTCTCCCACGAGCAACTCCCCGCCGCGGAGAAGCTACTCTCGCCGCTCGATTTCGGATGAGATGGGATGAGATGCGATCACGCGCGGCGCACTTCCGGCGGCACCGATCGATCCTCTTTATCACCCCCCGCTTGATTTTTCAACGGAAAGGTTAATGAACCGGGGGAATGAACATCCAGCGGTTCCTACCGACAGCGAAAAGATATAATTCCTGAATTCTGTTAGGACAAGAATCTATTGAATTTAGCGATCATTATTGTTAGAATCGAAAGTGAAAGGAAACCGTATTCTGTCTTTAATCGAAGCTCGTATCGTGGATCTTTGTGCAAAATGAAAATTCGTTTCGTAAAGAAATTTCTTCCAGTCTCTGGATCCTACAAATTCGTTTGCAAGTTACGAAAAGAGCTTACGATCTTCTAGAACTCTTCTTGAGTAATCCGATAGTAATCATTTGGAATAAAAAAGAAAAGAAAACCGTGTTAAATTGTACCGAAACTCGTGTTGCCGATCTTAGTGCAAAGTAAAAGTTCTCTACGTATATGTCATCCAACAAAATGTGATTTCAGAGCCTAATTCCTACAAAGTGGTTTACATTGAGCCACGAATGCGATCTTTTAGAGCTCTTCTAGAGCGATCTGGCAATAACCATCCAGAATCAAATGAAAAAGAAAATGCTATTGCATCCGACCGAAACTTCTACCGTGTTCTTTCTCTTTCGCGCAAAACAAAAATTCTCCAGGCAAAAAGTCGTCTAACAATTCACAAAGCAATTTCATCCGGGCTCGGACTCCTACGAACTGATTTACAAAAATTACGAATCGCTGCTCTCTACTTGATTCTTCTAGAGCCGAGTAGGTCGCGCGAATTATTTATAAAGTAATCGAAATCGCGGTCCCTAAGGATACGGCGCAATAAAATTTCAATTTCCGTGAATTTCACTGGGAAAATCTGAATTCGCGCGACGCGCGCACGTTGGATTCCCCAGAGCGGACGAATTTCCGGAAGATCGTGCCGGTACGTCCCGTGATCGATAGCAGTGCCGCAGGATCGTAGATCCGTCGCAGTTCGGTTCTTCTTGTCCGATAATCGTCGCAAAGCTGAGACCACGAGCGAAGAGAGATGTCGAGAGGAATGAGGGGGGAAGAATGAAAGAGGGCGCGCGGTCCTCAAACACGTGCGGACCGAGTTCTCGTATAGAAAAAAACAGAGACAGAGTTCTCCACGTATACTTTCTATATAGATAGATAGATAGACAGATAGATAGATAGATAGATCATGCGGACGTAAAATGAAACAACAGAACAGCGAGAAAAAACGTGAGAACGACGACTGTGAGAGATCAAGGGGAGGGGGGAAAGCGGACAAACGTTGTGCTTCTACTGAACAGACATTTCGAACGACAGACTGTCGAGCATGTAACAAACAGCGGACAAAGAAAATATGGAACAGACAGATATAGACAGATAAATAGATAGATAGATAGATAGATAGATAGATAGATAGATAGACAGATATATAGACAGATAGATAGACAGACAGATAAATAGACAGATAAATAGATAGATATGTACACGTGACAGCGATACGCAACAGCAATTCGGCGGCGGCGGCTACGAAATAAAACAGGTAAAACATGAATTGGTGTCGAAACAGAAAGGTAGTATACATATACATAGATATACATATATATGTATATATAATATCGGTGGTACGACCGTGCTCTGCTTGTGGCAAAAAGGTGGTCGGTTCCGATCGATAGAAGTAAAAATAAAGCATGCCAGGTGCAATATATATATATATATATATATATATATATATATATATATATATATATATATATATATATATATATATATATAT